TCAGGTCCGTAAAAACATAAGCTGAAGTAATTTAGCAAGCTGTATGGAAATATGAGGGCAGGCATGATGTGATTTACATATATTTACATAGTATTTCAGAGACCTTGGTCATTACTTAAGACAGTGGCGGTTCTACGGGGTGGCATGTGGTGGCAGCTGCCACCTCAGAAAAATGCCTTGCCACCCCAGCTGCCACCCCAGTTGGCAGCTTTGTTTTGAAAGAAAAGTTGTGGCTCATCGGACATTTATGAGAGAAAGTCTCTAATATCCGAGTGCAAGTAAATGCAGCACAAGACGCATGTCTTGTAACCCCTCCCCCGGCCCTGGCGAGAGCGTGGAAATATGATTGGCGGCGATTTCATTTGAACGGGACGGCGCAAAACGAGAAGCATTCTGACCCAAGTACGGAAGGAATGAGGTATTTGCAGCTGTACTCAGCATTGAATCAAAACGTACTAAAGCTTTTGATCTTAAGAATTTTGTGAGGCGTTTTGCTGAACAAAATGGTAATCGCCTCATTCAGCTGTAATAGACATCAATATAAATAAAGACGGTGTGTAAAACTACACTGCCCAGCCAAATTTAACTAGGCCAGTAGGTAAGGACTTTCCACTGGATAATAACTGAAGTATAAAAGAATGCATGACTTTGCGTTTGAAGGCAAACAAAAAGAGGAAATAACAGGTAAAATCAAGTAAATCCCCCTCTCAGATTCCACAGCAACCAGAAGAACATTAATACTGGCTGGTGATTTGATTAATCAGCTTTGTGATGGAATAAAAATGCACAGTGCATTTCCTTAGCTGTGGATGAGTCCACTGACACCACTGACAATGCTCAGTTGCTGGTGTTTGTGAGTTTTTATGATGAGGCAAAGGGGGAGTTTGTTGAAGCCTGACGAACCTCAGTGGACACAGAAGGGGGCAAGACATTTATTACATTATATTTCATTTAGCTGACGCTTTTATCCAAAGCGACTTACAATTACCAATTACAGGGACATTCTCCCTGGAGTAACTAAGGGCTAAGTGCCTTACTCAAGGGCACACTAGTGGTGACCTCACTGAACTCACAACCTTCCGATCTTCAGCCCACCTCACTATCCATTAGACCACCACTACCCCTATTTATAAAGCAATAATGGGAATGCTGAATGAAAGAGGGTGCAGCTGCCTTTATTCATAACTGTGCAGCTCTTACACTGCGACTCTGAGGGATCGAGCACAGACACAATAACAATGAAAACTGCTGCATACAGATTATTTTTGTTTTTGCAACCTCGTGTTAAGAATCTTGTTGCAATTGTTTAAAGGTTCAAATGACCGTAATAAACGGACCTTTGTCTTATTGAAAAAAATGTTTTGGACCTTTAAGATTTGTATTTGAGTACCCCTGGCATAGAGTCAGGGCTGGAGTTACGCCCTGCGCCTGCAGGGGTGCGAGACCTGCTGCCACGACCCTGGTGAACACCCTTGGAGAGAGGGAGAGACCAAAGGGAAGCACCCAGAACTGATAGTGTTGGCCCTGAAAGGCAAACCTCAAGAACTTCCGGTGGTGAGATGCAACCGGCATGTGGAAGTAGGCATCCCTCAAGTCCACGGTCGTGAACCACTCCCCCTGTGCATGTGCTGTGGTCAGAATATGGACTGGCAGCACCTTCAGGAATCTGTTGATTCCTCTGATGTCCAAGATCAGACCAAATCCGCCGACTTTCTTGCTCACGAGAAAGTACGCCGAGTAGAACCCCCCGGGCTGAGCAGAGGGTCTACTGGCTCGATAGCGCCCTTGGACAAGAGGAAGGGCAACTCTTGGGCCAGAGCTAAGGCATTCGCCGGATCAACTGTCATTTTGACCCGGCCGAAGGCTAGGGGCCGGAACTGCAGTTCGTACCCCAGGGTTAAGGTGGAACCACCCAAGGGTCGGAAGTACAGGCAGCCCAGTAACTGAGTTGCTGCTGGGAGAGCAGCCGACGACCGTCCCCGAGACTTTGGGGCCCCTTGGGGGGCGCCGGTAAGGCTCTGAGGCATGAGGCTGCCTAGAAGGCCGGTGACCGGGGGCACGAAAGCCACCGGGAGGCGGTTGAGTGGGCCGCTGGGACCTCCGCAGACCACCACTGTAAGCTGGTGGCTGGGTGCGGCTGCAAAGGGGCCCCTGGGCCTGCTGGGAGTGGGCACAGGCCTATGAAGACCCGAGAGCTGCAGCCTGTACCTCCTAGCTTGGGCAGCACGCTCCAGCTGCCCCAAACAGCTCCCCTGGCTCGACTGGCACACTACGGAGGACATGTCTTCGACAGTGGTGACTGAGCAAGCCAAACCTGGCAACGAGTCTGCACCAATAAGGACATAACTCGTCCCAATTCCCTAGACATAAAGACAAAGGTTTGCAGTGATGCATCACTGAAGCCCAGCAAAGAAGGCTCGGCTGGAGCCTGCTGCAGAGAGGTAGAGACAGCCAGCATCAGATGGGAGAGGGAGTTCCTGTTACGAGAGCAGTTTGTCTGTGACCCTGCACTAAGGCCGAGGGCACCTGGCATTCCTGAGGGGGTAGAAGGAGTTATTGCACAGCTGTTTAATATGGGCCTCAAAAGTCAGATGGGCGTCCATTTTCACACCCAGGTTGGTGACTGTTGAGGAGAGGCTAATGTCCTGGCTGGAGAAGGTGATGGTGGATGACCGAACCTGATGTCGGGTGCCAACTATAATGGCTTCGGTCTTGGAGCTGTTCTGTTTCAGGAAGTTTTGCTTCATCCACGCCTGTATCTCCTCCAGGCAGGCAGTAAATGTGGGTGAAGGCAGGGCTGCAGAGGAGGTAGGGTTGATCCTGAGGTACAGTTGGGTGTCATCAGCGTAAAACAATGGAATGATACTCCATGTCGGTTGATGATAGAGCCAAGGTGGAGCATGTAGAGTGTGAATAGGGTGGGGCCGAGAACTGATCCTTGAGGGACACCACAGGTGACATCGTGGGTACCCGACTCTGCCTCACCCAAGGAGATGTACTCCGTTCTGCCGGTGAGGTATAATCTGAACCAGTCAAGGGGAGAGTCAGAGAGTCCATTGGTGGAGTGGAGACGGTGGAGGAGGATGCCGTGATCGACGGTGTCGAAAGCTGCAGTGACATCGAGGAGGATGATGAGAGAGGGAGAGCCAGCATCAGCCGTCATCGGCAGGTCGTTTGTGACCCTGACCAGGGCAGTTTCTGTGCTGTGGCCTGAGCGGGAACCAGACTGGAACTTCTCGAATATGTTGTTTGAGTTTAGATGGTCCTGGAGCTGTGCTGCAACTAGTTTTTCCAGCACCTTTGATAGAAATGGGAGGTTGGAAATGGGTCTGTAGTTGGCCAGGACTCCCGGGTAAAGGGAGGGTTTTTTGAGACGAGGTTTAATGATAGTGGTTTTTAGGGCAGAGGGGACATGGCCAGCCTGGAGAGAGAGGTTTACGATCTTAGTGATCATGGGGCTCATGGTACAGATGTAGGAGTTCACCAGAACTGACGGAAGGGATTCCAGGACACAGGTGGAGGACTTCATCCTCCTAACGATGCCCTCAACCTCTCGCTGAGTGATGACCGAGAAACAGCGGAGAGGCTGTGTTGTCCCAGGCTGTGGGTCGGCAGTTGGAACTGGAGGCGCAGAGGGGCTAGAGAGGAGGGAGCGGATGGTGCCAACTTTGTTTTTGAAGAAGGCAGCGAAGTTGCTACACTGCTTCTCAGTGGAGTTGGAGTGTAGTGGACTTTGGGGTTTGAGGAGGTGGTTGATGGTGGAGAAGAGTTGCTTGGAGTTTCCAGTACTGTTGTTGATGATGGAGGAGTAGTACTGGGGCCGTGCATCTCGGAGGGACTGTGCGTAGGCCTTCTGGTGTTCATGATAAGCTAACCGGTGAACAGTGAGTCCTGAGGCATTGAGCCGCCGCTCAAGGACACGCCCAGCTGTCTTCATTCTCTGCAGCTCGCCAGTGTACCATGGGGCTGAGCACGAGAAAGTGACCATCCTGGTTTTGAGAGGGGCGTGCAGATCAAAGAGACTGTTGAGGGACTGGTTGTAGTATTCCACTGACTCATTTACTGATGAGAAGTTGGCGGAAGAGAGATGCTGGAGGTCCAAGGTCATGGTTTCCGGGTTGATGTTCCTCAGGTTCCTGAAGCGGATTTTGCGCTTGGGTTTGCTGAGTGCAAACCAAAGTTACAGTAGTAACCATGGTCAGTGCTTACACGGCATATAACCGTAGTTACAGTAGTAACCATGGCCAGTACTTACACGGCATAGAACCGTAGTTACAGTAGTAACCGTGGGCAGTGCCTACGCGGCATAGAACCGCTGTTACAGTAGTAACCATGGCCAGTGCTTAAAAGTGTCAGCCAAACGGCTGCACACTAGCAATAATATAATATTGGGATGGATGAAACCCTCTTTAATGACCACACATGCAGAGCACACAGAACACACAGTGAAGATTGTTCTCTGTATCTAACCCATCCTATTGCTAGGAGTCTAGTATTAGGAGCAGTAAATAACAACGATATAGTTAGGCATAGCTACACTACTGCTAACTAAATAAAACGAGAAACGCAGCTAAAGATGGAAACTCAAAAATGCTAATGATGGCTTGGCACAACGCCACGATCAGAAAAAGTACAAAAGAGCACAACAAGGGCAACTCCTGGGAGAGGGAGCGGAAATGCTTCCGTCATCAAAAAGTTTGAGCCAAATAGCAACAAGACAGTGATCAGGACAACTTAGCTGGGAGAGGGAGCGGAAACACTGCCATCACAGACCAAGCCGACACCAACCTGTCCGTCGAAGTTTCTGCGCAGCCGGGCACACGTCCTGGAGAACGAGTAAGCCCGAGGCTCCGACTGGATTGGTCGCGAAGCTGCACGCAGCCAGCTGTTTGCAGGGAAAGCCTTAGATCAAACGCTCCAACTGAATGCTGCAGGCTACAAGAATGTAGCCACGGTACTCTCGCGCAGCAAGAAGATGAAAGGAACAGATCCTCTGGCAACACCGGCAGATATAGCCGGTGTCACGTGGGTCAGAGTGACTTTGTTGTTATTGGTACTCGAGCTGCGCATGCGCGTGATGGACATATCCAGTGCTAAAGCACCGCCTCTGGCGGTCAGTAGGGACGAAATAGAACTCTGACAACTAAATGTTTTTTTTAGATTCCAACAAAACACAGTATGACACACTGTCACGTGCTCCATTTACTCCTTATTAATACGCTGATATTTTTTGATGCTACGCTGTTTTTTAGATGTCAAGGTCCTTCACAAATTGCCTCCTCACATTAAAATAACAATCCCTTCAAAACCACAGTACCCACATCTCATTCTTTTTGGCCACATGGTGTCAGCCTCAGAAAAAAACAACTTTTCTGGTTGTTTGAATAGGGGTGTTATTGCAGAATATTTAAAAATGTTCCTTCGCATTTTCCCTGATTGTGATGTTTACGTTTTCATAGCAGCATCATATGCATAATACATATTTTAATGATTAGTTCATTCCAGGTTGTTATGACTCATTCTGTAGTGCTGTGTTGCTTACCAATCAAAAATTACATTAATTTGCAGCTTCCTACATTGAGACTATATAAGTGTGAAATCGGTGTCTTAGTCACGTACAGTAGCAGCTCATAATTCTCACTACGTTAAAGGAGTCTCCCGAGAGTGGGGCTTAGTGTATAGTCTAATGGGCAGATGCATCCACAGCTCAGAGTCAGGCTGCAGCAGACCGGATGGATGCATCTCTACACCCCCCTCTCCTCTGCTGCTCCATCGCAGCCATGTGTAGATATCTACAGTCAGATTTATCCTTGTTAGTTTCCCAGGCAGCACATGACATCTCCCGGAGCTGTCTGAGAGAAACAGAGAGATGTTATTGTCAGAGCATCAACGAGGACAGTCTGAAACCCCTCATAATGATGCATTGTATTTGTGGCTCCATGCCATGCTTCACGCTGTCACCGTCTTTGCCTCTCTGCTTCCTGCAGGTGATGTACAGCCAGGACAAACACAGCCACCCCAGTGTGGTGGAGACCAACACCACCTCCTTGGAGTTGTCGCTGCCAGTCAACCAGGACTACGTTATCCAGATAAAACCCTTCAGTGAGGGAGGGGAAGGCAGCAGCAGCCAGATTACCATCCCCAAAATAGCAGGTGGGACAGTGCTGACACATGACATGTGAAAATGATGTCTGTGTGTCTCTGAGTGCGAGACGTCAGTCTAAAAACAGATACATTCAGCTGAGCTAGATTTTCTCATGAAAAGTGTAACTGCAAACACTGGTGTTTCGATCATGTGAGAATCATTTTTTGTCCACATTTCCTCAACTTCTTTTGTCCACTTTAGCTAAATGAACCACTATGTTTATGGGCTTTAAAATATGCCCAGTAAAGGCTGTTCTTTAGCTGCTTTGCATTATGATATTTTAGGGCTGTTTACATAAACAGGAATCTCTGAATCTTCAAAGAGGTATCCCACCATTAAATGCTGGTTAAAAAAATGTGAGTCTTCAAATAAGCATTTTCTCTGAAAGCTAAGTATATTTGTGCTGTTTACATTTCCCTTAGCTGTAAAATATAGTCTCACATCCACAGTCTGAGAAATGCATATCATATAACGGCTAAATGGGCTCAGACATGCAAATAATATTGGCAGTAGCTGGTGGTTTTAGGATGTATTTTTCCTTACCACCCTACATGTTTACACTCTAGCTCTCTGAAAGCCATATTTGAGGGCAGCGTACCAGTGCCATCTATCGACACAGTTGTGTACTCGCACCACACTGTAGTTCATTGCACTGAATACAATTTATAATGTTTTACTGTGATAAGAAAACATGACGCTTTCATGTCAGGAGTTCATACTCAAGCAACATTTCCAGACCATACCAGACTCTTAAACACTAAACATGCACTTGCTGGATCTTGATTTGTTTGTGTGTTTCAGGCTCCATAGCCAAAGGAGCAGCTCCAGAGTCTTCTCCATATTCCTTGGTCAACCTTGCAGCGTTAATCATCACAGCCAGGACTGTACTATGACAAACATCTGCATCAACCAGGCGCTACAGCTGCTTTTTAGGAGGAGAAACAGCAGGTCAGAGACAACAAGAGACTGACAGCCGCATTTCCACCTGCTCCCTTCCCTACTATGTCTTTCCTGTTCTTTCTACAAAGATCTCTTTGTGGGGAATTTTCTCTTTCACCGCCTTTCTGAAGGAGTTATTGAAAGGAAGTGGCTCTTTCAGAAGTTGCTTTTAAGGAAGTGAAAGGACACCATGACTCGACGGCTGTCTCTTCGACTGATGTTTCTTTCTTTGCCCCCTTCTAAGCAGTGGATATTCTCATATGGTTTGAACCTCGGAGGCAGTGGTGTGTGATGCACAATAGGATGTGTATATGTTTTCTCTTTTGGACTGTGCAGGTTCTGTGAGATGGATTTTGTGTGAACCTTTGGACTTTTTTTTGGATGCTGAGATTTCATCTTGAATGGGGATGGAGGAGACCTTGCATAGCTTGCAAGTGTTTTCCCTCCTCTCTTTGGGAAACCTCCTGCACTGTCTATGAAGGAAAACCAACTGTTACTAATCCCTGCCAAAAAACAGGGAGCTAAGCCTCATTCCTTTCTGCCAAACAAGAATTTGGGACCTTTGTGACTTTGCTTGGATTTTATTCATGCTTTTACGTTACACCACATTACATCCAAACCTCAAAGTTGCCATGAAAATGTAAACCAAAGGTATTGAATCGACTAGGTTCAGTTCCAACTGTTGTATCTTTGAGTGAAAATGCAGCGTGTACATCCCCAATATGGCTTCAGTTGTAAACAGCAGACTTGTGTTGGTTAATTGATGTCTTACCTTTCTCCCACATCCGTGATAAGTGTGTAACAAAGGCTTGCTGAGCAGTGGGAGCCGCTTTGTTGTATACACTGTATGTTTGAAATCCTCAGGTCCCAAATGAGCCTTAAGTCTTTTGATTAGTATCCATGTTGTTATTATTCAAGAGAGTTTTATTTATGTTTCCTCCTCCTGCATTGTGTTTTGGCTCACTCATGCTGTAACCTATGGATAACTGACCTTGCCCTACACTTTGTTGAGAATTTCCCGTTTGTTACTTTTTAGATCATATTTTTGGCCGTTTTGGGCTCAGAAACAACATGCCTTTCTCCTACGTCTCTCATGATGAGCATTGTGATACAGTGGCAGTGATACTGACTTTTCTAGCTTATTTGAAGTAGGGGACAGTGTTTCACTGTCAGCTGCTGTTTGGCATGAGATTGGTCAGTGTACGTACCTACGTTGCTTAGGATGTCTGGATGAATCAACCTGCTTTTAATAAATATAATGCCATTTTCCTCTTTTCTTTCTTTGGTGTCAGAAAAAGGCCCAAAGAGCCAAAGGTTTTCCATCACCAGGCTGTGCTATGCGAAGTAAAGGTATTATGTTCTTACTGAGCAGATGGAGTTTGCTCTGGAAAAAAGGCTTTTACTGTAAGTGGCGTGAGAAAGCAATTTTTTCAAAGGTCAAGAATACACAATCACAGTTTGACATAAATGTCACACAGACAAAAGGAAGTTAGAGTTAAAGCTGAGAATGTACCCAAAAGTCATATAATGTGTAATAACATCAATTTCAACATGCAAAGATGTTGACATGTCTTAGTGGAAGATGTTGGTGAGTCATTCAGAGTTTGGGATGAAAACTAAAAGAACCTTTGCAACACTGACTTCAACAAATAATATACTGTAGATGTGTTTCAGCCCATTTCTAAACAAGGACTGATTCCAGTCTTTGTTAAGTATGAGGTCTCTTGGATTAACTTCAGTCATACTTTAGTATTCCATTAAATTAAAGATCAGGACTTGACTTGGACATATTAGAATGTATGAAGCTGTTTTTCTTCCAAACACTTTCCTTTGTGCTCAGGGTCAATGTCGTGCTGGTTCCAAACACGAGCGAGAGAGAAAAAGAGAAGCATTGTTTTCTCTGTTCAACCTCCATGGATGCTACTGATCGATATTAGGTAGCAGATACTCATAAGTGCAATCAATATCAGCACATCTCTTCCCTTTTAAACAGTTTATTTGCCTCTGTGAGATGTTTTGGTGCTCTTGCAGCGATCTTCACAAGGAGGAGAGAATCGTCTTCATGTTTCTAAAATGCTGGGTTGTTTTTATCTGCTGTGGAGAGCAGAAACGTCCAACAGTAGGTCAAGGTATCACCACGGTAACTGCATTATGCAGGTCATTAAAATGGAGTGTGCTGTTTGTGTAATACACATTGTGTAAACATGTATGTAGGGCTTTCTTTAACAGGTTGAATCATTTAGTTTCTTCTTATTATTATTAGTTTCTTGGGAATCAGTCATTCTGAATTAAAATAAAATAATTGTTTTCATTAAAGTAATTATACGACTAAGATCAAATTATTGAAACATGTACTCTTAGCAGTAAGGAGACTCTTAACTACAAAAGCAGTAGGTGAAATATGTGAGAAACTTAAAATCTTCTTCAACACTGAATCATTTGTTCATGATTAACAAAATACCATGGCTGCACTTTTATTATTGGGCCTAAAGCTCAAATGCATGGCAGCCGTAATAATGCAAACACAGATATGTGAAGAGACCAAACACAGGGAATCCCTTCTAATCTTGTTTTCTGTTCTTTATTTATTTTCGAAGGAATGCAATTACAATGTACAGCGAAGACACGGCACCAGGCAAAAGAAGCAGAGCAGAGGGGAGGAAGCTGCTGAGGAGGAGGGGGGGAGCTTTGTACAGAGGTTTAAGGATCAGCCAGAGGTCGTCCAATGAGACGTCAGCACCAGGTGTCTCATCCACAGCCAAATGTCTCCGGTCATCACTTGTCAGACGTCCAAGGGCCCGCCTTTTCTGGACTCAGGAAGGACGGTTTCTCATCACTTGATCCAGGGATGATTTGGATAGTTTCGCACCTTATTGAGGAATAGTGAGAATGATTTCAGCTGGGAATGCTCCATGTTGTTGCAAAGCTCTCTTCTTTGTTTGGTAGGTGCCCCCTAGTGTACATCAAGCCCATTGCCATTAACTACTTTACATCTTCACAATCCATCAAACGGCATCAAATATACGGTACATGGCTGCATTTATTTTTTACCTTCCAGGTTGACATCCATGATTAATCATCACTTTAAAGGATTTTGAACCAAAATATGAATAACAACGGGAATTACACTACACGTGAAGGTTGACAGAAAGGTTTGGCGTCTGAAAGCCTAAGTTATATTACAGTAATACCCTCATAAACCTTACATGACGGGGTTATAACATGGTTTTACTCAATTGAGTGATTTTGCTGCTGAATGTATTGATTTTTATATAAAATGTGACGTTTGCAAGGAGACAGAGACCTTGCAGGTAATGTTAAATACACCATTATTAAAGGGAAACCTTGCCGTGTCAAGTTTATGCATTTGACTTTCTGGACTTGTAGCTTTTTCATACAAATATTTCAATATAAAATCAGAGTTTGTACAATTTCACTGCTACCCTACATCGCATACTACGTTCCTCTAACATTCATGTGACAAATCACACACAATTAAAAGTCCACATATTCTGCTCCTACTGTATATTGTATGTATAACACTGTACTTTTCTCAAAAGATTATTGGAAGGGCTCAGATGCATCCCAACATTTTTCAAAGACAGAGAAAATGTGTTGTACAATAAATAACTCTGCAAAATATATCATTCACCACAACTCATGTAGGTCTACCTCATGTTTATGCACAGGGAGATTAAATTAAAAGCTAATTGATATGTAAAATGAAGATATGTGTATCAGCACTAAAATAAGGAGAGGACAATGTAGCCACTTAGCTATCATTGAATCTTGGGATTAACAAAACTGAATGCATTGCGAAATGTCCCACTACTTCTGAATATTCTTAATTTCCTGTCAGAAGGCTTAATTTCCTTATTTTTATTTTTTTAATAAACTCCGATTTAACCTCAGATTTGTCGCCCTTATTATCTTGGACATCATGATCCATTACCCTTATTAGTTAATGTCTATAATACTCAATTACAATCCAATAATGCCAGAACATATCATGCAAATATGATCTCAAATACTAATTGTACTGACACAGCTGCCCGTTCTGTGACCTGAACAAGGGTGTGAGCCTATACTCTACGTACCGACTACACTAAATGGCCAAAGTGGTATTACATACTGACTTCTGAAAGCATATCTAAAGGCTGTGAAAGGAGAGGAACTGGTGTCGTATATTACATCTCCACCATGTAAATAAATAAGAGTTCACTGTGTGTATCAACAGCCCCCACAAGGTCCATCCGGATGAAGCGAACCATACTTCATGGCCAAATACATTTTACAGAACTACATTCTCAGGTGAGACCAACAGAGGAGCAGAAAATATTAGCTCAGGCTGGAATCATCAACAGAGGATCTGATTGGCTCTACATGATCCGATCTGCTCAGTGCATCCTCATCAGTCAGTGTAACAGAGGGGGGACGGACGGACCTGAACCCTGCTTCACTGGATGTCCCATCATTACTAGAGATACATGTGATGGATTATTCTATGTGTAAGCACAAACAGTAGTTTTTTTACAGCAGTTTTTTTTTTACAGCACACAGCAGTAATCCGATGAATTCTTCAGTACAGCAGCACAGACATGTAAAAGACACTCCTAGTTTTTTTTCTATTTTGTGGGTACCAACATGGCACATGGCCCTGGATTATTCCACAGTGTGAATTAATTATTCCCTTTGACCGTCGAGGAATACTTAAGCAAGTGGTTTTAATATACAGTAGCAGCCCTGAGAGATTTACAGGGAATTTAGTCGGATTGGGATCTCTTTAAATTGTTCCAGATGTTCGGATTTCCAGTGGCAAGTATATGTGTGTGTGTGTGGGGGGGGGGCAGGCGGCAGGTGTGTGTGTGAAGGCTCCATATGCGCCACTGGCAGAAGTCTATCAGAAGGGAGGTGGGGGGGAGAATTTCAGGCCGGGCACTGCCACTTCCGGTCCACCGGGGGGCGCTCTCGTATCACAAAATCAGGACTGCAGGTAGAGAGAGAATACAGCGTCAACCTTAAATCCCTTTATCTCAAAGGTTGATAGTGAGGGCCAAATCATATAAAATCAAGATGGTTTTCGTACCTCTGATGAGCCGTGACGATCCTCAGTGGACGATTCTGTTTCCCGGACAACCACTGCCTTAGTTATCTGCATGTCTGGATGCTGCTGCTTGGCTTCCTGTATTGCAATAGCCAGAGCCTGCAAGAAAAAGTGAAATATCAAATGTATCACAGGAAAAAATGAATTAAGTTGTTTCTTTTAAATATATTTTTTCTTGCTCAATAAAATTGAAATTCATACATCATACATTACTATCATGTCAATATTTTTGTTTTGACAAATTAATTTAGCTATAGTCTACCAATTATTTGTTTTAAGATTTGTAAAGATTCCCAGATGCTCAATTATATAATTGATTTACTTAGCATATTTCATTTATTCAATTCGCAAGAGGGCTACAATTGATCTAATCTGAGGTACAGCAATGTTTGCAAATACTATATGCATTATGAATAAGGTGTTATCTATGAATGGTTGACATGGCCATTGTTTCACTTTAAGGATAAAAAAGAACAGTCCTGCAAAGGTCCAACAACTACAAATTTCCGAAAAAATACACCATCCAGCAATAGACTACATGTTTCTTTTGAATAAACCGTTTGCTCCACAGTTCATTTCAGCTCACCTGTTCCTGGTCTACATCATCGTCTCCTGTGATGATGATCCTCTTCTCGATCCTGGTCTCGGAGTATCCTCCTTTCACCGTCTGCAACACACAAGGGCTTTTCTTTTAATAGCCTTCAGCCCACATATGGCTGTATTCAGACAGAAGAGATGAACTTCTCTTGATGTAAAACCCACTTTATGGTAATCATACATTAAATTGAGCACTTTGTAAGGTCTACTTGAGCTTACCTTGGAGACGTGAGTGGTTGCCGAAGTAACATTTTCCGTTATGAGGATAGGCGACCCTGATGCCTCTCTTCTAAGACTTCCCATATGCACCTGAGAAAGAAGAGATTAGTTTTCAGGACATGCATTTAGACTTTTAGACACTTTTTGGACATTTGACAGGTTTAAACCCAGGAGAGCAGTGTGCTTGCTTTAGGTCAAGTTAAAATGGGAAAGGTCCTTCTGTTCATACTCACAGGGGATATGCTCTGTCTGGTGGAGTAGGAAACTTCACTCAGGCCGGTGATACCGTGACCCTGAAACAGACAAATGTATTGTGTGACTTGTGGTAAGTAATACTTTAGATCAGGGGTGTCCAAACTTTTTGCACTGAAGGCCACATACAGACAAATATACGAAGGCTTGGGCCACTCACTATTTGAGGTATTGCCTCATAAGTTCAGTTGGAAGTTGGAAAAATCTATCCAATCTAGGTCAATTGTTCTTGATACTTGAAAATGCTGTTAGAAAAAAACTGCCTAAATTACAGCTCTCCATTTATTTTGTTAGCAGCTCATCCCTTAAAACAGAAGCTTCAGATTGCATATAATAGGAAATATGAAGGGTATATTTCAAGGTTGTTATGTAAATGTGTTATTGGGCTTTTTCTTATCAACTTAGATTTGTTAGAACATGTTTTCAACTTTAATTGACTGAATTTATTTGAAAATTGGGCTAATCAACACATGAATACTGTGTAATATATTAGAATATATATATTAAAGAAGTACAATATAAGACAAGCAGAAGTTTATTATACTTAAGTCATTGTACTTTTTGAATTTGCTGATGGCCGATTCAAAATGGCCAGGCCGTGGTTTGGACACAACATTTCTCAGTGAAACATTGAACTAACCTGATCTGTAAACTCCACGATGGTTGTGGTGACCTCTGAGCCGTTGGGCTGGGTCTCCGTCCTGACGTCCGTCTTCCTCACTGTGGGGGTGGTCATGAGGTCACTGGCCTCCCTGCTCAGCGGTGTGATGGCAGGATGGCGACCGGCTTCTCTCTGCGACTCTCTGTCCACTGACGATGACACCGGCACGGACCTCTTTGGTTTTTTGGGTACAACAGGCTTACAGAGGAAAAAGAAACACATTGTAGTTTTTAACACATAGCAGATGAGCTTGAAATTCTGTTGTGTTTTTCTTAGATTTTGTGGGAAATCAGAGCTTCAAAAAGGCTTGAATTAAGTTTTTTCAGTTGCAAATTACAAGATTATTATTGAAGCTTTTAAAGCATGAAGTGAATCCAAAGCAAAAGACAAACACAAGGGAGTGTTAATATAACTCAGATGGAAGATTTGTTTTTAGCTCAGTGCTTAAAAGATGTGTTTTAAAATAGATTAGAAAAACAATGAAAACCAGAGAAGAAGAGGATATGAGAGGATATGTCCTCATTACCCTTCAGTGCTGCTTCATAAAGAGAATTAGACTTGAAACACATTTTATAACAGTCACTTTGTCTGCTCTGCTTTTCTCAGAATCAGAATAAATATTTAAAGAAGATTTTGTGTTTACTTTTTATATTGCACAGCCTTTTGACTATTAAAATCATAAAAAAAAGAAAAACAAATAACAACAAAGAAAAGACATAAAACTGTGTGAAATGTGTAAAAAACACACATTTAACACATTACTTTGTTGTTTTTTAGTAGTTAGAAATGTTGCCACTGTTCTATTTTTGTTTGTTATATCGACATTCACATCAGCCCACCACAAGGCTTGTAAACAAAACTTGAATTAACTCATCGACACCTCACTTTGGTGGTCTGTCATCACACTTGGTTGGAAACTAGGGAGGCACTAAGATGGGATACGGTTGAGTTTGATCCTACTTGCTGTTGTTTTGGCAAAGCAATAGCACACACTATTTGTATTTATCATGTGCATCTCATTAAACACATGGAGATAGAAATAAAACACGTTGGTGATTTCTTGAAAAAAATATCTCTTTCAAGTTCACATCCATGCCCACCTGCCCTGATGTTTGTATAAAAGAGGACACGTATTTTTAGGTGCCTAAAAATAGAATATTTTTACCCTACCTGCATGAAAAATCTAAATTGAGGAGAAGCTACAAACACAAATGTTGCTGTACCTGAATATCGGACCGTTTGACCTCTGGCCGCACTTCTTCTGCCTGGATATGTTTGGTCGAAGGGGCTGACACCAGGGGGGGGGGTGGTTCAAAGGGGGCCTGCTGCTGGAGCATGTCCATGCTAAAGCAGAGACCTATGTCAGGTGACTCTACCCTGTCCCCCAGCTCCGTCATGCCCTTGGAGAACTCCTCCATGCCAGTGTGTAGGTCAGTGAGGACAGTGAAGTCCACCTCGGCCTCCAGGCTGGACGTGGAGCTGACCGTGATGCTGGAATACTTCCTCTCGATGCCCAGGTGGGTCTCCTTCAGGTACAGAATGTCGGGGTCCTGGTCGTCCTCGGACACGGAACCTAGACGTTTTTCCCACGGTTCCCTCTACAGAGAAGAGTGCAGCACATGAGACTACATCAACTCCAAATATAATTACTTATATAATCACTGTTGCTCACATTCTTTGATTATATATGTTATTATTATATAAGAAGATCTGAAGGAAACAACAACAATTTTCACTATTTCTACTGAATTTTTTCCATTAATACCTATATTGTATATACAATACATTTTCACAGGATGGGAACCCTTTAATAAGATTCAGTTATTGTGTTACAGTTCTTTACGTTTTAGTGATGGGATCTTACCAGTTGTTTAGATATTAATTCACAGCCTGTTCCTTGATGGGAACCATATCCAAAACCATTTTTATTACAATATATATATATATATATATATATATATGTATACAAATTAATGAAAATCGTGCTGTTTGTTTTCCAAAAGAGTGGCTAAAAAGGAGGAAAAACCAACTGGTGGAGACGACTTACTGAAGCTTCATTGAAAGGTTCCTCATGAATAGCAGGTGTGGGAGGTGTATCCTACGAAAGAAAAACAAACAATAAGAAAACGTTAATACTAAATATAGCAGGTGACAAGAACCAACCTAAACTATAGCCAACATGTATCATTTGCATCAGAAAAGGAAAGAGCTGAAACAAGAAGTCAGGAAAGCTTTTGTTTGTCTCTGCATTGACATGACGTTCATAAACCACAACTGATTATAGCTTTTTGTCACATCTATAGAAACCATGCTGTGTGATCTCACAGCTTTTAAACTGATTGCTTTTGCACTTGGCGGAGGCCTCTGCATTTTCATTTATAAAATGTCAATACTTAATTCATCTACCAACATCATGGCATACCATGAACTCAAATTAAAAATTTAGGATTGCAATTTTTAAATGTTTGCATATCCTTCACTAGAAAGTCATATTGGACATAATGTATTGTAATATTTATTGTGCCTTCATACATTTTACAATTATGAAGTCTTTATAAATGTTCTTGACTTTTTCAGTACTTGACCTGTAGCCTATGTGTAGTCTGTTTCCTCTTAATGGCCTATATTTATAGTAAATTGCATGCACCAAACAGAATTCCTATAAGGGAAAACCTAATTGGTGATCAGCCTTACTCTGAATCTAATTTGCTTCCATCACTTAACCTTAATCAGCGTATAATTATGATGACAGGCCTATAATTACTTAGCAAAAAATGTATGCACAGTAAAGATGGGCATCATATCCAATTGCCCACTATACGGTAACGTTAACGTGAGCTCGATACATTCTCGCGACAGAGGGTTCCCCCGAGGATTGCTCAAGTATGACCGACCCTCCCCTGCCTCTGATTGGCTGAGCGCAAGTAAATTGTTTGACAAGAGTGATTGAGACAGAATCTGTCATATCACTATGACTTTAAATTAAATATAGATTTAAGAGAGGTACGGCCTTTATCCTTAATTGAAAACCTACCTGTCCGTCAGCAACAAGTTTATTTAACATGCCGACAAATGAAATGGTGTTAAACTTAAACTAAAGACGGGGACACGTTACAGCAGGCTGACGAAAACAAGCACCCAACAACACTGTTTCTGAAAAGTGAGGAATGGACCTCTCCTGACAATACACACAACTTGGATTCGGAACATATTTAAAGAATTACTCTTTGGTTGATTATAAATATGGAGGAATGGATTCAAGTCCAGACTGAAAGACCGCTCTGAAGGTAGGGATTTGCCACGTTTTGTTCGTATCGCCCTTGTTTACCATGCCCGTAAAGCTGAATGAACTATACCCGAGTGCTCATGTTTACCATAAAATGGACTGAACGGTTACATTTTGGGAATCTAACCAATCTATCAATAAGTAGCTTGTCTATATTGACCAAATGTAAAACATTTATTAAGGCACATTTATTTTGTAAATCAGTTTTAAACTCCTTAAAAGGCGGGGTAGGCAATTCACTTAAGACATCTTTTTTTTATATTCCATGGAATGCTCTTAACATCCCGATAGCAATGAATACATTAAATGCTTTGACAATAAATATATACAAATATTTATATTTGTATATATACGGGCCCCATTTGGCCATCCAATTATCTGCCCCAGGCAGGTAGGCGTACCAACGAGATGGAAGGCCTACCTGCCTGCCAGCTTTCCATCTCGTGGACAAACTTATCTCGTGCCCTCATTGGTCACGCGCGTTCGTTTGTGTTGGAGGAGGGGCTCTGTAAGGAAGTCTGAAGGAAGGGGCAGATTTGTTTCGGTTTATGTACGTCTATGGTTGTGTACTTTCAAATTCTAGCTTACTCGAGCTGGTTTCTCCATTCTTACCTCATGGAATTACGTTTTAAAGGCCCACATCCAAATAATTTACATTAAAATAAACTATAATATTTAACTTCATATCAAGACCTGCATTTATTTATTAAAATGTTCACCATACCCAATGAGTTAAAGGGGCTGGGTGTTACATTTAACTTTTATGGGTAGGTAAACTACACAATAAACACATACTGTAAAGCTTACAGCTACTGTCAGAAGCATGCACATAGGGTATATTTCGAAGGTTGAAGTAATCAGAAATGACTGCAAGTGCAATGGTAATGCCATGCACTGAAATGTTAGATTTGTCAAACTCCCTTTCAGGGCAGAGGTATTCATATGCATAAATGCAGTATATGAATACTTAAGCCCTGAAGAGGTTTGGCAGCTCTGCAGCCTGTGATTACATCTAATCGCCTTTTTCCTTTTCTGCTGTAACCACATGTGCCAAGGCAGAACATTTGATTAAAATGCCTTTCTCAGTCATTTACAAAAAGGATTCTTAAATTATGTGAAAAAGAGGTCTCAAAGTAAAATGTTGAAACGGTCTTGCACTCCTTGCAACAGCAGCCACCTTTTATTCTGTGAGGTTGTTGGAAGGAGAGACCAAGTGTGAAGTCAAGGTGGGATTGAAGGGACGCCTGAAGCTTAAGCATAGGGGTGTTTGCTTAGAGGCCCGCAGCGTTCTGAAATGGCCAAGCAGATGTCAAACTTTGCGAAGGGGAGGACAAGGGAAAGCAAAAAGCTCCGTAAAAACTAAGTCTGTCAATGATGCTATGCCAAGGGACGTGAACTTTTGCTTTCTCATACACAGCCACATGAGTTCTGAAGTATGTGTGATTGATTGTTTTTAGATGGTAAAAACAAGATCTGCACGTCTGAAGCTCATGCAATGCTTTACTTTCCAATGATTGGCAAGTATGTTAAGGGTCGGATGGTTTTTACCGCTTGCTTCCATTTGGATGTGTCTTGGCTTGGCATCCTGAAGTGGATGTGGCTGCTGTCCATGTTGCTCTGTCTGTCCCGGGACCACTGGGATTTCAGAGGCAGCGTTAGAGGAGGTGCAGCTGGAAACTTGGAGCTAAAGAGAAGATTTTCTTTAAACTCCAAGTTGTTTTGAAAATGATCTTCATGTCCTCTTGTAAACACACTTTGTCCCGTTGTGCGTCTGCTGTCTCGAAGCGCCTGTTGCCCAAACAACTCATTCTTTATCTTTGGGAGTGGTAGACTTTGCTGTTGAAATGACATTGCAGCCTCGCAGTGATGCTTGGTGGCTCCTGTGTTTTCCTTGATAACATTTGCTGCATACTGCAATTCAGAATTGTCATCTTCTTTCCTTCCTGTGTCATAAGATTCATCTTTTGATTTTGTCATCTGTACATCCCCAGTCCCACCAAAGACACCTCTGTCAGACCAACTCTGAGATGGAGTGTTTTCCTTATTCTTCTTGGATCTCTGTGGCTTTAGAGGAACTACTTTGGTGACTTCTGAGTTTGAGTTTCTTCCTATGTTGCATTCTTGAGCTCCCACAGGGCTCGAGTCTTTTATTTTCCAGGTCTCCCAATGTCTCGCGTCACTCTCAATTCTGCCGCTGTTGCCTTTTGGGAGAGAATCCACAGCCAATACGGTTTCAACGTTTTGTGTTCTCTCTCCATGAGTGTTGCACTCATACTGACAATGCCTAATATCTCTGTTGCTCATTGCACTCCCCTGTTTGTCATGTGGAGATCCATATCCATTTTCTTGAATGGTGTTGCTTGCTAATACAGAATCGTGATGCCAGTTAGTTGCTACTGTACCATCCACAGGGCTCAAATCCGTTATTCCTGTTGCTCGAAAGTCTGTTTCCTGTTTTGGAGATGTCCCAGGTCTAGTTTTTAAAGAGTCATTGGCTGTTTGACAGTTGCTCATCTTTGTGTCAGTCCAAGGTGTCAAAGAAAACATGTTTTTACTCTCAGAGCAAGTATCCAGCTCTCCTTCATAAGCATCCTGCTTGTCAATCAATTTGGCATCAGCGGTCGCCTATGTTGACATAGAGTAGATGGTTAATTTAACTTAGCTCTTCTAGTATTTGTTATCCTAGATCCTTACTCTTAATGATTTGTGAAGAAAAACAGTCATTAACTTTTCAGATTTGTCTGTTTTTTGGCTCAATATAAATAAATATAAATACATGTTTTTAAAGAGTTGAAGAAAAGACTGCATAGAAAGAAATCTATAAATATATATGATTCTAACTGTTGTAGTACAGTGAGTATTGTAACTTGGGGAACAGGAGGTCATTCTTACTGCTTTGCGCTCAGGGGTTCCTCCTGGAGGAGTAGCTGAGGAGAGGCGTTTCTCCCTCTGGGCCATCTTGCTGTTAGGCTGCTTCAAAGCCATCTTCAGCTCATTGATGCTGGCCTGGTGCTTCTGTAGAACATCTTCTGGCTTATCCAAGAACTGCTGCTTACACACCAGGGACACAACAAAAACAAATGTTACTATCCTGGATCTGAATCTATTTGGTTCTGGTAACAATCATCTCTACATTTCTCTTTTCTTTTTCAAAATTCTCACTCTTACTCTGTTCTGATGAGGGTTTGGTGCATGCATGCCTGTTTTTTGTTGCAATACTGGGCTGTAGAAGGAATGAAATGCTGCCACCAACACACATCATTGAACAATAAAGGTATTGATAATTACCGTAAACAGATATAGATCTTGGTACACTCAAAATGAGTATCATCTGCGTTTGTATTTTACCTTGGCAATGTGAGCAAACATGTTTTGAGTTAGAGGTCTACAGGTTTAAACAATCTGAACATTTTTATTTAAAATATCTTACAATGTATTTGTGTTACTGTTGATGCATGTAGTATAATGCCTAGAAATTTTGGATGGAGATGGAGCACATTGATTTTGAAACTAACAAGCTGTGTTTTAATAGAAACTCCAGTGTTGTGGTTGTTTGCTGAGTTCTAGCAGTGAGTGAGAGGCAGATGGTTTACATAAGAAAACACAGAGCACCTGGTGATAGCCACACACAGCACATGCCAAAAGAGACAAGCACTACCTCCTGTTTGGGCCGAGGGGTGGCCAGATCCTTTTCCAACAGAGGAGGGAGCCCAAGGTGCGACAAGTGAGATTAAGTGATGGGTTTTGAGCAAAGCGGGAGGTTGAGGATTGGAGGTCGGGGTGGAGAACAGATGCGTGCAGAGACAAAGAGGTAGAGTGCTGCAGGTGAGTCAAAGAGGCAGGCAGCCAGACGGACAGACAAACAGTTAAAACCATCAGGGCTTTCGACTTAAAGACTTTCAAGCCATTTAATGCTCTGCCAAGAAGACAGGGACAATCCATTTCAGTGTCAGCCAATTGATAATTAATGCAGTCATCTATTGACTGAGCATAAGTGTTTGGAGAGGGGGATTATTCCCATTCTTCTTCATCCAAAGACTTGGTGAAAAGGCATCACACAACCACAAATGATCGGACTAGATACACTGGAATAACCTTTACCATAAGGAACACAACAATGTATTCTTGCATCTTCATAACCAATACGAATGTACTTCTAAAAAGGACAATTCATATAAAAATAACTTAATGTGAATTGAATAGTGAGACTTTTACCCATCTCAGTTGAGTATCAGGAGATTTGCCAACTAAGGAAACAGTGAATCATCAACAGTGCTTTAGGGCCATCTGTTTATACTGCTAATATGATCTAATTGCACACAGGGACACAATTAAACATGTGTTGACAATTGTGAAAGATGCTTTTTTTTCAATGTTCAATCTAGATAAGAGCTATATTTTAATGAAAAAAAAAAAATCAGTAAGAATTGTCCATATGGCAGATAAGAAAAAAGGAATGAAAGAGCCTGATGATCCATATTAAAACAGTGTGCGTCTAATCAACTGAAGATCAACTCATGCAGTTTCCATGGATTAGGCCCAATGGAATCCTGGAAGTTATGACATGAAAATAAATGACATTCCCTTCAGAGACAAACAATCAAAAAAAGAATAGATCGTGTTTAAAAAAAAAAAATATGTATGACCTACAGAAGCCAAAAACCACAGACAGACGCTGAGGGCCAAGGCCAAAATACCTCAGGTTTTGAGTCTAGAGACGTGCCTTCCTCCTCACCCTGCAGGAGAGTATGAGGTGGACCACAGAGAGGTCATAGAGAAGAGAGCAGAAGTAAGCAGAGTGTGTGTTAATATCACAGCAGGGGGAAGAGAAGAACTGTTAGAGGCATGAAGCTGGGTTAAAGAAATATCATCGGCAGCAAAGAGGTCAAGTTAGTCTTCGGGAGGCGATTGAAGAAATGGAGAGGAGAGAGGATTCGTTATGAGATTTATAAGTCTGCAGAGGAGCAGGAAATAGAGGAATTTAGGCCAAGGAGAGAAAAAAGTCAGGATGGTGATTACAGTCTTATATGAAAAGGAATGTGAGAGAGAAGGATGAGGAGTGCTAGTCAAAAGTTCATGAGGGATTTTTTTTCGGGCGTAGATGTATAATTTTCGAGCTAAGGAAACTGCCTTAAGATGTTTTGTCGCACTTTTTCTTAAACTATGAGGAAATAATTGATTCATTTGGTGTTTCATTCACTAGTTGAATGTCATTTATTCATACCGTGTGCATTAAAAGGTACAAATTGTGGCCTTGTTGAACAGCTATACATTAAGGCAGGTCCATGTTTGTACCTTGAGCTCGATGGTCCTAGTGGAAGTTGATATTCGTGCACCGTAGGTATGTTTCTGATCTTGATCCTGGTCATCATGCTGCTCTAGCTCCTGATCTGTGAACTGGTCCTGATCTTGGTCCTGATAATGGTACTGATCTTGGTCCAAGTCCAGGCTGCCCTCCTGGTCCAGGTCTTCTCTGGACATGAACTGTGTGCGTTCACTGGAACTCCGCTGGGACAGCTGTTCCATACTGTAACCGAGAGCTGAGGCTGGGGAGGTGCAATGGAAGGGAGAGGTGAACAAACCACAACTCCAGTGATAAAGCTTTTACATGATGTACAGTGTTTATTAAGGCCACATATATCAAGAGTCTGTGCTCTAACATGAAATCACAGGATAAAAGCTGCTTTTATTGCAGTTTTTGCCAAGGAGTTTCGGTCTCTGTCAACATGGGACTAAAAAATGTGTTTCTTCAGTCTGAAAGCCATAACACAAAATCAACATGCACTGTTGATGGAATAGCTAATTATGCTTTCACGCATACAATGTTATCAATCCATTTTTTAACCTGAGGGGCTGGAGACAATTTATAGGCTCACATGTTAATCCAGAAGATAAGTGAACCTCAGAGTGGACAGAGAAATAGTCTGGGTTCTTACCTCCATCAATACTTCGGGCCAGCAAGTACCTCTTGCTAACGGACCGATCGAACTGTGGGGCCGGCCTGTCGATCAGAGCGCTCGCCTGTCTAGTCTGGGCTTGGGTTCGCCCGCTGTAGCGGAACTTTGAGCCAATCACCAGGAAGCCCTTGGGAGGGGGCTCTGGGGAAACCAACCTGCAGAAAGGTTCAGCTGGTGTAAATCTACCTACAATACTACCTTGTTGTTGACAATGTATACTTAATTACAAAGTTAAATCTCTTATGAGGCACATACAGCAGTGTGGAACAGTAACTGATAAATTAGCTTGAGGGGCAAGTAAGATACATGTTACTTGTATCAGCAGTTTAATTAATTACAATATAACAACTGTGTATATTTATTGCTTTTCCCAATGACTTGTTTTGTCTCCTTGAACCAATTATTTTGCATCTGTTTTAAACAACTGAATCTTAAAACAGCAAGACCAGCTTCTATAACAAAACAAAACAAACCACAAATAAATCAGTATCACTTGCTCCTTGTGGAACAAATGGTTTCACCGTAAAAAGGTAACAACACCTTTTTTATATATTGAGTGTCACTTGATAGAATCCCGAGAGATATAGCAATTGTGCAGAGTGTGAACAGATCATGCAAGGAGTGAAGTGCAGAAAAAGTGTGTCTCTGTGCATCTGTGAGTATCCTACCTGAAAAAGGTGTGGTGCTCAATGCAGACCTTCCACAATCGCTTTGAGGCCCGATGGTTGGGCAGCTTGAAGCCTATGGTGCTCTCAAACTGTTCGTACTGAGGAGTGAGGGGGAGGAGTGGGGGTGGAGGACGAGAAGGAGGAAGGGAGGTGTGGAAGAAAATAGTGTGAAGGAAGTGAGTGCGGGGAAATATGGTTGGATGGTGGCAGGTTGAATTGTGTTGACTTTGCAGCAATGAGCAAATCAATGCTTGTAACTCGTAATATATTTTCCCAATGCCATGTCAGGTAGACTTTCTATCTCTAACCAACCTACAAATGAGCCATTCATGCAAACCCCCATCAGATAATCAGTTGTGTGAGAAGAAGAAGATGCTTTCAAATCAATAGTTTTATTTGCAATATACGAGGGATTCAAACATGAACACTAGCTCCTTCACAAGAGGAAGCCAAATCGTGTCTTATACAAATACAAATATATTTGGGGAGAGGCAATTAGAAGTGTCAGCCGACTTAAGAGGATAGATGTGCAGAACAAAATGTATGCACTGAATGGCTTGATGTTTACTATGAAGATGTCAATGTAAGTTAAACAGTGGATGTACAACACCTTCAAGGCAAAAATAATGACAGGTAAGAATGAATCCTAATTGTAGGTGGTTGAAAACCATAGTGTGGTTCCAACATTTGCATGTGAAATCCTCAAGAGTGCAAATCCTCATGAGTGACCTATCAGCCTTATCTTAACAAAACATCAGATAAACGATAAATCTCTGAGGTAACACCTTTATCCCAAACCATGAAATTACTATTTATGCTACTCGGGACGAGTCAAGAAAGACAATGATGTAATTTTGAAAACTGTGAAACCATGAAATAGACATTTTGAGTTGGCTCTTAACCAAATGATGCGTTGTTCCACTTTCCTCTGCTATGCCAAACTGACTTTCATGAGGTATTCTTGTGGGAATGCGCAGACAATAATTGCAAAGTGAACTCTCAAGACAACCAATGTGCAAAATACAAGATAATGAGTCTTTATTTACCTCTCCTGGGCGGATCTTAATATAGAAGTTGCTTCTCTTATATGAGATCTTGAGAATCTTTGGCCAGGCGAATCGGTTGATCCTTAGGCGGTCCCGATAGATGAGCAGACCGTTGGCGCTCACTCCCAGCATTATGTCAATTCCTTCTGAATCCTGGTGATCACACAGCATTGAATATTAGTAAACCTCAGACAACGTGAATGAAACAGTTTCAGTGAAACAAAGTGTCCCTGTACCTTAGCATGATGCAGGTCCACCCCGTACATTGAGAGCTTCTTGCCATTTTCTAGAAAGTTCACCTCTGCCTCTGCTGGACTCATTCCCCTACGAGTCAAAGTGCCACACATTAATTAATAATGAATTAATTGTTTCTTTCATATTAATCAGACAAAGGAATAGCTTTTGTCAATATTGACTCGCATTCAATTGAATTAACCGTCATATTTTAATAGACCTGTAGTTACGATGCAGCTCCATCACTCTCTCCTCCAGCTCCCGTGTCTGGTTGGGTGCAAAGCGGAACTCGTTGACGTAGTCGGGGCCATGTTCGTCGGCCTCGTAGTCTCCCAGTTCAGCCTGGACAGTGTAGGAGCCCAGAAGGGCGTGGGTGACGAATGAGCATGGCAGGCGACCGGACAGGATGTCGTCCCTCAGCTGCAGGCACAGGTAGTACCTGAAGAAACACAGGAGGAGGTCGAAACACTGCTGACACGTGTTTAAGAAACAAGTGTGTTTATTATCAGGAAACATCAACATCCACTGCTGGACTCTGTAGTGTCTGTCCATTTGATGATGACCTAAGTTTACAGCAATGCTAATAGAGTGGTGCAGGGATGACGTATTTACCCGGAAGTAAGCTGCGCATGGTTTCCCTCGACAAAAAAGCAATGGGATTTCTCCATAGGATTTTGGAATATAGCTCTAGATAAGGTCTGTGGAAAACGAACCTGTTTGATAAATGCACGTTTTGTTCAGCCGGATAATATCCACATGTCTACTAGGGCTGTGCAATTTAATCGATCCTGCGATATATATATATCGATATTTTGTCTCCCGAGAAAGTATCGATATTTCAGCCGCGGGTATCGATACATTAAGTCCCATTCAAATCCCCCGTGTTCCGCCTGGCACTCTGCTCGCTGCCCATCCCCCCCCCGTTCGCTTTGCATGAAGAGCGATTACGTCAGCCAGCCGAGCCGCTAGTTTCGCTGTAGAGCATTTCTAGATAAACAGACGCCGGTGTCTTCTTCTCGCAGTGAGTGCGAAGCGGTTCAGGAGAATGGCGGCAAACATTAACCACACTGGAGAGGGTCTTTTCTACCGCCGGAGATAACGGCCCAATCCCAAACCACTCCCCGACGGAGTCTGTAGCCACACTCGCAGCTCAACGAGGCTCCCTCCTGTCAGATGGAGGGAGTAAATACAGCAGCAAGCTTTGGGACGGCCTCCCCTCTCTCCGGCAGAAACAGGAAATGCCGTAACTGTATGTAACAACGGTTTCAAATCAACATCTCTTAGACAAAAAGTTTAAATTAATAACTCAAATAAAACTCCTAACATCTTTCATTGTGTTTCAAAGCTCTTTTAGTTTTAAACCTGATGTTTATAAGCTTCTTAGTTTTTGCAACGGTCTGTAAATATACACAACTTTATAATAAAATGCACACATGTACCATGTTTTCTAGACTAAACACTGGTATGATCCTAAGTTAAAACATATGAGGTTATCATGAGGTTGTTAACATCGCAGTTTA